GGGGGGGGGGGCGAGGTTGCGCTTCCCGTGGATGTGGCGCAACGCGGGCTGCCGTCCAGGCACCGCCCGGGAGGCCGGCTGGCCCTGGCCGACCTTCCTCGGACAGGGTGTGGGTGGTGAAGGAGCTGGGCGCAGCGGACTCCGTAACCCAGGGGGCTCGGGACCACCCTGCAGGGACCCCGCCCGTGGAAACCAGTCTAGGGGTGGCTCACCCACTGTCTTCCTTTCTTATCGAAGTGTGACGCGAACAGAAAGGTGCACAGAATGGCAGATGTGTTCCTCCGCGAGCGCCGCGGGCTGAACACAGCTGTGTGCGGCTCCCCGTCTTTCCTGCTCCCTCCTCGGTGAGAATGGTCACCATTCTGACTGCCAATGTCACACGTCAGTTTTGCCTGTGTGTAAATGGGACCATAGGGTATGTACTCTGCTGTTGGCTCCTTTTGCTCGACATCTGATGAATTTATCTCTGGTGTTTGTAGCTGATCCTTTTCATGGCGGAATGTATTTCATTGTATGACTGTGATAATTTATTCATCCATTCTCCTGTTGAGGAAACTTGGCCTCAGTTTCAGGTTTTCTCCTATAATAAGGCTGCCACAAGCCCTTTGCACATGCTTTTCATCCCGACGGCCGGCCAGCGGGCGTGGGAAGTGCAGGTCGGAGAACCGTGCGGATCGCAAAGCCAGAGCCCGCGGACCACATCTTGGTGGTCCCTGGTCTTCTGCACAAAATTCCCACATCAGAGTCATTTCTGGGAGTTAATGGAGATGCATTCTGGAATTTAAATAATGAAATAATCAATTAAACAGCTTCGTTAAGCTCCTATCATGTTCCAAGAACTATGCAAGATTTTGTGGGGGATGAAAATGAAAACGATATTGGTTCTACCCTTAGTAACCTGTCAGACACTGGGAATTAAACGGTCACGTAAAACAGCAACTGTAAGAGAAGACAGCAAATGCCGAGGGCTCACAGGCGAGCTGTACAATACTGAGAGCACAAAGAGAGCTAAGGAAATGGAGACTCATTCTGGGCAGGGACACTGGGGAAGTGGCCTCGAAGGATGAATAAGAGTTCAGGGGAAGGGAGAAGGAAGGACGGTCTGAGCAGAGGGACAGCACAGGTTTTGAGTGGAGCCGTGGAGTGCAGATGCTCTTGTTACGCTGGAGAAAGATCATGTGCTCATGAGGTCACCCGGCTGACGGACGCACGGGGTGGGATGTGGGCAGCTTGGATGGAGGTCAGGGGCCTGCCTGGCTTGAGCAGAGGAGTCAATACAGTCAGCGAAGCCCCGGAGGGCGTGGCTCGTTGAGCGGAAGCGAGGGCCTGCAGGGTGACGTGGGCTCCGGAGGGCACTGTGTCGGCTTTGCTTTGCGTTCTGCCTTGAGTAGGGCTGACCCGGCTCCGCACTTTTGGAATCTCAGGGGCTCTGGTCGTCAGTGCCCAGCTGGAACCCTTCTGCTGCCGTCCTCTGGAGCTGGGGGCCTAGCCCTGCGCTGAGAAAACCTCAACATCCTTTTGTCATCTGGTGGAGGTTCCGCTGCTCTGCCCCCCTCTTCCTGAGCTAAGGCCCCACCCCTCCCAGACCTGCAGGTCCAGTGCAGAGGGGGTTGAACTGGCTGTGGCTTTGGAGGCTGCAGCTCGTGCACCCACGCAGGCGCGGGGGACAGGGCCTCTATTCTGGGCCACATTGTCCCCTCGACCGTCCCCCACGCTGGCTGTCCATTTCTTCCTGAGGACGCAGGGTCGATCATTCTGCAGAGTCACTGTTTCTCCTCCTTCCTTCTTAGCTGCCAGAAGAGGGTGGAACTCGCTGCCTCCCTGGGCCCCCGGGGCCTCTGCCCCCGGCCCTTGCTGCACTCACTGTGGCCCCTCCACCCCTCTCTTAGCACGTGAGGACTCATGCTGGAGTTTTCTCTTTATGCCGCGTTTCTCTTCCCTCCAGTTGCCATATACACCCTTCTGGGGGCAGCCTCGGGTCTTCCTGTGTCAGTCACACCGCTCAGTGCACAATCCCTCGCCCCCTTGCCTTTCCACTTTATCCACGCCACAGCCTCGCCTTGGCCCCCAGTCCCTTCCAGCTCTGCCTTACAGTGACCCCTCCACCCCACCCCACCCCGCCCCGTGTGCTGGACTGCTGCGGCTGCAGGAGAAAATTCAGCAACAGAGAACAGCGGAGCCGCCGGTCTCGGCTGGGCCCTGGGTGTCCTGTGAGTCCCGTTTCTGATCCAAAGCTTCTCTTGTTCCCCAGGGAGGAGCTTCCAAACCTTCACTTCGGCCAGGTCCCGCTCCTCCGTGGCAGCCTCTGTCGGCCCACTCTCTCCTCCAGGAAAGGAGACAGTGAGGGGGTCTCCCACTTTTTGACGACCACCCTCTGCTCGCCTTCCCTGGGCCACGCCTCCCCCAAGCGCTTCCGCTGGGCTGTCCAGGACCTGCTCGGCTTACGATGACATCTCGGGTCGTTCGTCCGCTGCCCCTTCTTTCCTGCTGGCTTTCCGCTCTCAGTTCATTTTCCTCACATTTAAAAAACTGCTGGAAAAGCACTGGGTTTTCCCCTCCCGCGTCTTTCTGCCCCGTGTGCCTCCTTCGCTGCTCCAGCAGACTATCCGAGGCTTGTCTCCGTGTCAGCGAGAGAAGTTTCCAACCGAACAGGCGACAGTGTGCGACGCCTCCTTAGGCCTCGGCTGGAAACTGGCACCAGGTGGGTTTATCAGAAGGCCAGCCTAGTGACAGGAGACGGGCGCGCCCCTGTCTGAATCACAGGCGGAGCACAGAGGAAGGCCGCGCTTGCATTCCATCGCACTAGTTCTCTGCCAGAATTCTCAAACTTGCATTTCATTTCCTTGCACATAGTAAACACGGTATTTTAAAGTCTATGGTTAACACCTCTGTTGTCCAGATGCCCGTTAGGTCTGTTTCTATGGCTTCTTTTTCCTTTTTAGACATGTTTCCTCTTGTTATGCCAGTTTATTTTCTTGTTTCATTTTGGATATCATGTATGAAAAATTTTAGAAATAATTTAATGCTCTGGTTGATGTTATTTTCCTCCAGGTATAATTTATATTTGCCTCTAGTAGGCAGCCAGGTTAGAAATACTAGAGACTCTAGACCACTTTCGTCTGATTCTGGGTTGACATGGTTCAAAATTTGGCTTCAGTTTCCGTGAGAGCTGGTCTGTTTCCGGCTCACTCTCATCCTCAGTATGAGCCGTTCATGGCACCGGCCCCAAGCCTGGTGGACGCCAGGTAGCAGGTCTCTGAACCCCATCATGCCCCAGTGCCTTGAGTCTATTGTAAGCTCTGTGCAGCTTCTCAGCGCTTCAGTTGCTTTTTATGGAATCGGAAGACGCCCCCAGTGAACAGCAGCGGAAAATGCAGGTCTCACCTCTCTGGGTCCCCTTCCTTCAGATCTCGGCCCAGAATATTTCACTGTTTTGTTAGTTCTCTGATGCCTTTCGCAACATGTTTTAACATTTTCCCTACTTTTTCCTCGTTATTGCCAGTGGGAGTGTTTGTTGGTATGTCTTAATCTGGTCTTCTGTGATCAGAATTGAAATTCCTTATCTGATTATCTATCTCAGCCAAGGAGTGTGTGCTGCAGAGTGAACACAAGGTTTGGTCCCAGATCACAACTTTTCCGGAGTCAGGAACCGTGTCTTACACGCGAGGAGGTCCTGGCTCTTCAGGGCTCTGGTTAGGGTGGTGTCTCAGGAAAGACCGAATAATTAACATTGACAGTGCATGTCCTTTCTGTAGGTTTAGTCATTATTTTTCCACTTGCCTTTGTGCAGCACCTGGCGGGCTACCTTTCCTCGCATGCAGTGCGAAGACCACGGGGAAAGAGACACTGGGCTGCATGGCATGGTCTCTGCTTTTGGTTTCAGCACAAGCAGATCCAATTCAAGTCATGGGATATGAATAGGAAAATGTGTTTCGCTCTCAGGGGTGTCACGATCAAAGAAACATTTCCTACCGACCGCACAGTAATTACAAGTCTCCAGGTCCTGTAATTACGTGCTGTGCCGAGGAGATGCCAGGCCGAGGACCTGTGCGTTTGTGACACATGAGGACACCTAGAGCTCCTCCCCTTTGTCACTCTCTGCTCAGGACCCTCCGTTCTCACAGGTCTGTGCATGGCCGCCCCCTTCCCCTATTCTCTCTGCCAGTTTCTCCTCAACCCTGCCCAGCCCATCCAGACACCTTTTATTCCCTGCGTCCACTGGCCACAAAGCTTCCCACCAAAACTGGCCAGAGAAACACCCACTTTTCTTCACTGACTGCACGGGGCGGCTGTAAGGCGGGCGATGACACGCAGCCTTACGTCACACCCCCATGATCCCAGAGGGAAGTGCTGAGATATATCTGGCAGTGTATTTGCCTTTTCGCCTCCCTAATTTTTTTCTAGAGAGCAATCCTTAGCGACTAAAAATTTGGCAACATTAATGAGCAGTGACCATTATTTGATATTCTAAGTCCTACAACAGTGGCATGAATCTAGCTCTATGGAAGGACAGAGGAGGAGCCTTCAGCCCCAAGAGTCCGTCCTCCTGGGCCTGCCCACTCAGAGCATCCAGCGGTCACCGCTGGTCACAGGTGGTTGCCTCGGTGCCGTGGGGAGGGAATCACATCACATGTGATGTTTACGTATAACACGATAGTTAAGAATTCACCCTCTGAAGCCAAAAATCGACTGGATTCCAAGCTCATCTTTCTTGCTGTGCAACTCGGGGTAGTTACTTTTAACCCCTTTGTTTTCTCACCTGTGAAATGGGGATAAGAATCTCACCGGGTCATTGCGAAATGAAACAGTCAAAACACGTAAAGAGTTGACAGCATGCGTGTTCCAGAGTAAGCACTATTCTCACGAGTTCGTGGTCCCTTCAGAGCTTCTGCAGAGGGGGCAGGTAGGGGATGTGCACCGTCATGTTCTCCTGGGCTCTGGGCCCCTCAACGTGCCCCGTCCTCCTGGCTTAGGGGAAGCCACACCAGACCGCCCACGGTGCTCAGCCTGGTGCCTGTCCCGCTGCCTCCAGCCTGGTGTCTCTTTCCCAGCATCTCCGGACTCTGCTGACCGTGTGACTGGACTGTCAGGAGCACCTGTCAGGTTACAGCCGCCCAGCACACTGACGAGGGCAGACTCCGTGGAATGGAAGGTACAGCTGCACACAAAGCCGGAATTTTACGTGATTCTCACTTGGAAGAATACTTCTGGTGATTTAAGCAATATTCTTTGGGTTTCTGAGTCTTTCAACAATAGACTCAGTTTTAAGATCGAGGACTTAAGTCTCCTCATCAACGCTACTCAGCAGCAGGACAGTGGCCTCTACCTCCTGGAGGTCACCAGAGAGGATGGGAGTATTTGCAGACACGAGTTCCAGATTTCCGTATTTGGTGAGTGCGCGGACGGCTCTCCCCACCGCCCACCCCGCAGGGCTTGCGTCCCCAGCGCCTTCCTGACCAGCATCTCTGCCCCAGATCACGTTGAGAAGCCTCGTCTGCTGGAGCAGTGGAAAGCCCTAGACAGAGGGAGGTGCCAGGTGACCCTGTCCTGCTTGGTCTCCAGAGGTGGCAATGTAAGCTACGCCTGGTATAGAGGGAGCGAGTTGATCCAGACGACGAGGAACCTCAGCGAACTGGAAGAGCAGGTTGGCGTCGGAAGCCGGCACAAATACACCTGCAATGTCAGCAACCCTGTCAGCTGGGCGACCCAGACGCTTGAACTCACCCAGGCCTGTCACCGTAAGTGGAGCGCTGCGGGCTGCTACGGGCTGGAGGTGTCGACCCCCACTACCAGGCTCAAGTGCAAGAGAGACTTGGGGATGAGCTCGCCTGCGGCCTCCCCTGGGGGCCTGGCTCTTAGGCACACAGTGCCTGTAAAGCCAGGCCCATCTTAGTCTGGGAGGAATTTTTTCCCATTGAGAGTCTCCTTCTGGGAAGCGGTGGCACTTCCCTCACTTAAGAAAGGCTTGGCAGGCCGGCGAGTCACAGCCGTGCTGCTGGTCATCGTTTCTTCCTCTGAGAGACTGATGGAGACCTGCCTCCTCACCTGCAGTGACAACTTGGTCCCCAGGAGGGAGGTGGCGCCCTGGGTCATGGGGCATCAGGGTGGTCACAGGGGAACCCGGGAGAGTTCTTGGCGTATCGCCTATGCGTATCCTGAGAGTTACGCTGAGTTGTTTGCACCTCTTTTTATTAGATAAACTAAGAGTTACCGTGCTGTCGGCATGGGCATCACAGGGAGCAGGCCACCTGCAGTCCCTGCCCGTAAAGGTTTACAGCCAAATAGGGGTGACAAACTGGGCGCTCAGGGGCACAGAGAATGCACAAGCCACAGCAATGTGGAGTGACAAGGACACTGTCTTTTGTGCCCTGTCAGCCATAGCTTTGTCCTTTACAAGCTGTGTGATCTCAGGCAGATTCATAAACCTCTCTGGGCCTCAGTTTTTCTCTTGGGAAAATGGGAATGATCATCAGAAACACCTAACCGAGTTACTGTTCAAGATTAAGTGAGGTAACATTTGTAAGGGACCTCAGCCGGCCTCTGGAACACTCAACTGCTCCCCCTTCTCCCTTCGTTAGTTGCATATATGTCAGGCTACACGTGAGACACAAACGTCAAATGCAGCCGTTCGCGGGAGGACGAGCGGTGGAGGCGGGAGTAGCAGGGAGGCTGGCCTGGCGCACAGTAGGCATGCTGGAAACGTTTGTTGAGTTAAAAACAAAAGAACGGATCGACGTAACATTTACTGTGCCAGACGCTTTACTTTAATTAGATCGGAAATTAATCCCCATATGTAGATAATATCATCTCCTTTTTACGAGTGAGAAAACAGAGGCTAGAGAGGCTCGGAGGCTCAGAGGGCGCAGAGTGTGCAGAGTTAGAATCTGGGCCCGGCCTGTCAGATACTAACTCTCTTAGTGTCACTTGGGGGAGGCCGTCCAGTTGGGCAGGGAGACCACCTTGATGGCGACCTCAGCGGGGTGAGGAGACCGGCCGCCCTTGCGAGGGGAGTGGGCTTCGAGGCAGGCCCTGCAGCAGGCTGGGGGGGGAAGGAGAGAGAGGCCGAGCCCTCAGCCTCACGCCTCCCATGTCTCCCAGATGTCGACTTTCTTTCCATTTTGGTGATCGTTTTGCTTCTCATACTCACCCTGACCCTCGGCAGCCTCGCCGGCTTGTGTGTGTGGAGGAGGAGGAGGAGGAAGCGGTCACGTGAGTCGAGGGCCCCCAGGGTGCTGCCGCCCGACTGGGCAGCGTGTGCCTGGGCGAGCAGCACCCGCTTTTCCTCGGGAGCTTTGGGATGTGTGGGTGCATGGGACAGCGGTGGGTGCTGGGCCTTTCCCCTGGTCTCGCCTTCCGGGGCGGCCCCTGCGTGTTTCCCGCCCATCCCCGCGTGCAGATTCACGTGCAGGGGGCTGGTTGGGGGGACAGCAGTGGAGTAGCGGTGTCGCGATGGCTGCTGCCCCTGAGGACTTGGGAAAGAGCACGAACCTGCTTGCTTTCTAGAATCTTCTCAAGGTCTGGGCCACCTGGGGTGAAGGCAGGGCTGCCAGAAGCAGACGCCTGGCTGGGTAGGACACCCTCTGGAGGGCTCTGCAGCTCCGTCCTTTGCTTTTCTCCTCACAGAGCCCATCCCAAAGGAATCTCTGACGATTTATGAAGACGTCAACAGCCTGACGACCAGGAGAAATCAAGTATGGCATCCTGTGGGCGGGGCTTTTTCTCGCTAGTCTGAAAGTGCTTTCGGGAGGACAGCCATTTGGAGCCAGGGGACAAAGAGAACCAGACAATTGTCCTCTCAAAGGGATCCTCAGCCTTCCCCATCTGTCTTTTCTCCATCAGCCCCTGAGCTCTGGCTGTGGAGGGAAGGAGGGAAACAAGGGAGCGAGGAGATGAGGCGGGGGGGCGTCTGGCGCAGAACCCGCCTGCTGCGGGGAGGGGACATGGGAGCCAGCGGCAGGGGCAGAGAGCTGCTTCTGCGCCCAGATGGCACCTCGGTGCCCTCATTTCTTCGCAGTCTCACCAGCTGGTCTAGGCCCCAGGACGAGTTCAACCTTCTTGCATTTTGTATCTGACCACAAATTCTCGTGTCCTTGCAAGTCCAAGTTAACTTTTCTGGGTCCTTGATCATTGCCCAGGCTGGTGAGGGTGCCAGCCTGACCTGCCAAAGCACGACAGTGTGTAGCTGGCTCAGTGGCCCATGTCCATGCCGTGCTGGGGAGAAGAGGCCCGAGGATGGCTGGGGTGCTGGAGAGAGCACCCGGCTTAGCACGAAGGCTCTGAGGCAGAGCCAGCATCTCCGGGAACTCTGCCAGGCGGTCTCTGCAGGCAGCGGCCAATCCTCTGTCATCCAGTGGTGGAGAGGAGCCGGGCGCCACAGAGGGGCTGCAGGGTGACCTCACTGCTCTTTCCTTAAGTGGGGCAGGGTGAGGTGACTGGCCTAGAGCAAGGCAGGGTCTCACTGAACTGCCAGGTGTGAAGGGAGGTGGGGGAGGAAGGTTCCTCTTTCCTCCCCCATACCCCTGGGTGGCCTGAGGGTAAGGCAGGAAGTCGTGGTGGTGGTGGGGGGCCCCCCGTGAGGCGGTGCGCAGCAGGGAAGCGGCTTCCCATCTGCTGGGCTCAGGGCTGGGCCTCAGGCCTGTGTCCCCCTCAACAGTGGAGCAGTGGGGTGTGGGGGACAATGGGAAAATTGTTTCTTCCGTCAGTGCCGGACTCTGGTACAAATTCATAGAAGCAAATGTATCTACCTACAGCCACTGGTGGCCAAGAAATAGACCCCTCTTTACCCACGAAGATGACACTAAATTAGGAAAACGAAGCAGAATATAGGGGATAAAAATCACTTCGAGTGAAAACACCTGCTGGAGGGTCAGGCCCGCCTCTCCCTGGCCCGGCCCGGCCCTGCCGCCGCCAGGGTTCTGTGCGAAGGCCTCCGCTGCAGGCGTCGTGCATCCTGACGGGGGGCCAGGCTCAGACATGCTGCAGTCACTTCACTCATGTCTGAGCAGAAGGGAAAGACAGCGAACTCCCGCCCCTTGCCCGACGCCCAGGACTCCAGCCTCCCGGGACAGCTGGTGCTTCTCCGCTCCTCTGGGTGTGGTGACCCCTGCTGGCCCACTGGCTCCCGGCCAGATCCCATCCTGGCCGTGAAGGCTCAGGGGTGAACAGCCACTGCCAGCCCCAGTCTCCTGTTGGGCAGGACTGAGAGGAAGGACACACTGCCCTTGGCCTCGGGTCCAGGGCTTCACCCCAGCTGCCCAGGGGCTGGCCTGAGGCAAGGGCCAGCTGACCACCAAGGCTGGACCTAGATAGGAGGCTTAAAACATTTACAGCCTATGAATTTCAGTGCCCTGATATGTCTCAGATCACAGCCCTACTCAGAGCTCAGTGCCATTCTCAGAGGACATTTAGTCAAGAAGTCAGCAAAACCAAGTTTCTAAGCCACCAAAGTAAAACAAGAGGCAGGAGCACACCCCCACCCCGGCCGGGTGGCAGGCTGCAACCCCGTCATCCCTGGGTGTCCCTGACACTAGCTCCTGCACTGTAAAAAATCTCTCCTCATCCTGGGGTGATGATGAGCACCTCCCTTGTGCTATCTGTCCCCGCGTACAGTCCCGGCTGTCTGCTGTGTCACCACATGCCCCGTCCTGTTTGTTGCACAGGAGCAGGAGCACAGCTCCCTTGGAGAAGAGAGGACCATCTACTCCAGCGTCCAGGCCCAGGTATTACTCTGGCTTCCCTAACCCAGCCCACGTCTGTCTATGGTGCTTCTGGCTCCCTCCCCGCCCCCCAAAACTCACACCCTCGAGGGTGGGGCGAAGCTGTGCTTCCCTTGAGCCCCAGAGGGCGGTCAGCTTCAGCTGGGTGCAGTTGGCTGAAAAGGCCCGTGTGGTGCTGGGTGTCCTGCCGGAGCTGGACAGTGGGGCGGACAGGCTCTCCCTCTGTGCCCGGCAGTGGGCGAGGCCCAGAGAAGTTGGCAGAAGGAGGAAGCTCGTCCTGGAACCCACCTCCGTGTTCCCGCCCTGCCGCTTCCAACAGCCAGGGCCTGGAACTGTGGCTCCAAGCCCTTCTTACGCCTGTTTCAGGAAAGAATAATCTGGGCTGTTCTCTTTTATTACGACTTAACGATAATGTTTATTAAGTACCTACTATGCTCATTTTTTAAAAGAGATCTTAATTAGCAGCCTCAGGAAGTAGGTCTGATACAAACCTCATTTGCTAAATGAGGAAACGTGCGGAGGTTAACGTGCTCAAGGCCACACAGCTGGGTGGCGGCAAAGCCGAGTCTCCACGCCGCCTACGCACCCATGCCCGCGGGACAGACATTTACCCATAGACTGGAGGAGCAGCCTCTAATATTAGCAGCGAAGATGACATTATTGATGGCCCAGGCTGGGCATCTCTTTCTACACAAGCTTTCTGGTGGCCGATGATAAAATGTTTCTGATAAAAATGACCTTTTTTTTAATTTTAAGAATTAAGACCTGAAGCGGCACCTCTTCAGCTTGGTGGCCTAGCTGCAGGACAAAGGAAATTCTTGGGGGGCGGGGGGATGATGATAGGGTTCAGAGAAAGATCAAGAAAAGGAAGAAGAGGAGAGGAAGAGCTGAGAGAAAGGGGGAGGGGTGGGGCTCCGCCTCTCACAGCCACTCTGAGTTCCCAGGGGGTGTCGCCACCTCCTGCTTCCCTTGGGACAGTGAGATTCCCCGATAGTGGGTCAAGTCGAAGAGCCCGGAAGGGGGATGCGAGGAATCGAGGGATCGCTGTCTGCCAGGTGTCTGGCTTTAGCCACACTGAATTCCAACAAGGGGATCTGAATAAATGCGCGGCAGGCGGGCGCTGAGCTTCCTCCTCAGCAGCATCTCAGGAGGGTGGTTACCTGCCTCCCAGGGCGCCTGGCTCGGGTCCTGCGGAGAAGGCAGGTGGCCGAAGGGAGGGCTGCGGTGTCGGGGAGGAGCCCTGGGCGGGGGCGGCGGGGGGGTCTGGGCTTGAAGCGACTCCACTGGGAACACCCCGACTGGGCCGCTTACCCTTTGGGAGCCTCATGTGCAGAATGAGGCCAGTGCCAGCCATCCCTGTGGTGCAGGAGCGCGACGGGGTTCGGGGAGAGCGCAGGGACAGCAGGCGCTCGAAAAGGAGCGACCGTCGTTAATGGCGGGGCCGGGCGTCCCGAAGCTTCCGTCTGGGCAGGGTGGGGGGCGGGGCGGAAGGGACGACCCCCCTGCGGCTGTGCGGGCTCTGCGCTTCTGAAATGAATTTCTTCCTCTTCTCGTTAGTCCGCTGCTCCCACGTCGCGGGAAACGGAGAGCACCGTGTA